CACACACACACACACACACACACACACACACACACACACACACACACCTGTTTCTTTTTAGGTGGTTGTTAGCGCAGTATCTCCGTTGCTCCTTGAATTATGTTAATTTTTTCTTGGTCCAAAAATAAAAGTTTGTAAATAAACTTTTTTAAACATTTTTTTCTTTATTTTTTTCTCATATTGTTTGTCTTTGCTCTAATTAAAGTACTTTCAGTTTGTTTTATGTTGTTAAAATAAGCTCTATTGTTATTTATTTGTCTTTTTGTTTTTTAACATGGTCTTCTTCTCTCCTCAGGCCAGCTGATTTCTGACGACGTGGATGAGATTTTCGCTCGCTCCAGTTCAGATTACATTACCTTATTCCAAAACACGCTCTCCACCAAATCAGCCGCTGCGCAGTATGACGACAGTTACCTGGGTAATCTCACGCACGCCCTTTTAGAGCTAGTGTTTGAGTGTAACGTCAGTAACACACACGTGGTTCTCCAGTCTGAACTGAACACTGTAAACATTTGATAAAGCTCTTTACATTCCGTTACTGTCAGATTAGTTGAATGAAAAATGATGATACGATGAGGTGCTGGCATCAAACTCTCCCTGAAGTATATTAATAAATGCAGGTGCAGTTGGGAGAAAAACTGTTTCATTTTACAATTCTTAAGTTTTATTTCTATAAAAAGAAACCCATTTTTTAATATCAGGTAAATACAACTTTAAACTTTATTATTTTTCGTAATATGCAGAAGCTGTTTGTGGAAAACTAAACCAAAGCTACTAGTTGTGAAACTGGTTTTAAGAGGTCTTTAAGACTTCGGCCCTGGATGTGTTGTTTTGTGCAGAAAGTGTAATTTATGTAAATTAAATTCCCTCAAAGAGTGTTGATCCTTCCCAACTCTGCAGCTAGCTAACAGCTCTTTGTTGAAAACTTTAACATGCAGGGCCGTGGCTTTCATAGTTTTACATTGTGCTATTTAAGGCGTACAGCAGAAATAGTTGGTTGCAAATACTACCTGAAAATCAGATGTGGATGAAGAGAACTTCAGAATAAATTCATTTAATTTAGATTTAAAACCAGAGAAATTAAGCCAATTAATTTTAAATTTTATGACGGATATAAAAGCACGTTTTTCTTCTTCACAGTTTGGTTTCTATTCACCTGTAAACACGTCTAATGGGATGTTTTTAGCTTTGCTTAGATCTTTAACAGCAGATAAGGTTTATAGATGACTGTCGTTTGTACTTTTATTTGTTTGACAGGATACTCTGTGACAGTTGGAGACTTCAACAATGATGGAAAGGAAGGTAAGAGCTGCTCCTGACAGATTATATTTTCTGTTAAGCTCTTAAATTTGCAGGCACTTCTCTAGTTTTATGTTTTTTATCTGCCCGTCTTTTCTGACATGAACAGATTACGTGACTGGAGTGCCCCGAGGTGAAAAGGCTTTAGGTTATGTAAGTGTTAAAATTCACTTTCACAACCTTCCACAGGTGCTTAGTCTCTGGGTGTTTGTCACCTTGGTCCCTTTGTCCAGGCATTCTGTGTTCCTGAGGGTGTGATAATGTTTTGCCTGAGCAAATGATATGAACTGAACATACCACAAACAGTTTCTCAGACAAAAGCTCTATTTGGCGAGGGATTAGTTTTACATAGGGACTACATACAATAAATATATTACTTCCCAACATCTGCTTTTTATGTGGCGCATTCGCACGGGATAACCAAAGCCTGAGATTTAGCTGAAATTTACGGACATCTTCCGGATATGACGTTAATGCGCTGCGAATTGCTGAATGACGTGAGTTGAATGACATTACTTTTCAGGCTGTGGTCACAGCTCGGTGCTGTGTTCCTGCCAGCACTAGCCAGCTGTATAGTTTATAAACAGAAGAAAATTATTCTTACCGCACAGAGCAATGCATGATGTGAGCCACCATTTGCATATGGTTTTGCTCCTTTTCTTCAGCCTTTTCTTTTTTTGGCGACCGTTACGGGTTGATAGGTTTTTGCTGGTCCGGGACACAAAAGATTATTTATGCACTCCAATGCAGCGTCCATTGCCAAAAGCAAATACAAATGCACCCAAGAAACAAAAAACGCCTAATTACCTATCGGATCCCGCCCATTTCTGTCCAAATCACAGAGATGCCTATTTGGATTAGTATTATCACAGGACCTCAGAGTTCAGCAAAATATAGTAGGTAATTTGTGGTGGAATTGTTACTTTACAAATTACTGACATGGCCGATTTGCACGGGATTAACAATAAAGCTGTCATTTCCTACACAAACCCAGGACCCAGCCCGGACCGACCCGGATTAGGGCCACGCCATATTAATGTGATTAATGGGCGGGCCGGTCTCAGGTTTTGAAAAGTGAAAGTCAAAGCTCAATGACGTCATTTGTAAATGTGCAGGAAGTGCCACCGCGATTCAAGCAAGCCATCACGGAAATGTGCATCCAGTAAAGACACGAGACCTTTTTATGTGGTGAGTGGAGAAGGTTTTGAAGGACTGGCTCAAGAGTTAATAAATGTTGGTGCCACTTATGGCCGTGTCTCGGCAGAGTCCGTCCTGCCACACCGCAACACAATTTCCAAGATGTGCACAGAAATGGCTGAGGAAGAAAGAGATGCCTTAATACAAACACTCAAAGAAGCCCTTGCAACTGGAAATGTTTGCATGAGCACAGATCTGTGGACAGACGACTACATGAAAACAAGTTACATGGCAATCACCCGTCACTTCATCGTAAGTGGCTTTAAACTAGTTGGAATAACTCTAACAGCCGTGTTTCCAGGAGAAGACGCTAAAACAGGCAAAAACATAAGGAAGGAAATATTGCTCCTACTTGTTAACAAATTTGGCCTGGACCCCACTTCCCTCAGTAAAATGGTATGGGTGACAGACCAGAGAAGCCAAATTGTTAAGTCCTTGGAGCCATACAGGAGGATTAACTGCCTTGACCATCTCATAAGCACAGTCCTGCACCATGGGCTGGACCCTGACGCACGTGCTGAAAACGCTCCAGACATAGGTGAGACCATTGCAGCTGCCAGAAAGTCTAGTGCGATGTATAAAACAATCTGGTCTGTCTGCGCAGCTCTCAAAGACTGTACTCCAGATGGACAAGACAAGAGTCAGCACTGTGTACCTTACAGTCAGTGCAAGACATCTACAATGAGCTGTGAGAAGACGGACGCGAGCAGGCGTGCATGAAAAATGTCTCCCCCGACATTTTGGGCTTTTTACTCACATTTCTAGAACTGTTTTACCGTGCACAGAGAGAACTGGAGGGTGACAAATGTCCCAGTATCAACCTTGTTTGCCTCTGGAATGAGAAACTGAAGCTTCACTGCCAGTCCTCACACACAGACTCCCCACAGCAGGCGTTTGTGCCCACAGACATGTTGAAGTACTGGAGCACAAAATCATTGTCCACGACTTACACAGAGCTGCACTTTTCCTGTGGCCTAATTTCAACAAACTTAAAACGATGACACCTGCTGCTGTGTGTCAGGTGCACGCTCAGGTCTGCACCCTGCTCTCAGCTGCGGTGGAAGAAGTTGCAGCACCTGAAGTGACGACACCAAAGGCTGCAGCGAGCAGCGCGTTCACATCACCACCATCCAAACGGACAAGAACAAGTGCTTTTGCAGAGTGGGAGAGCGCAGCGGACGAGGCAGACAGTGATGATGAGGTCACTCTGTGCATCACTCAAAAGCATGCTATGGCTGATGAACGAGATTTGCTGGGATTTTAGAAACTAAACTCAAACGTGCACCCAAAACTGGTCAAGTTGGTGAGATCTGTGCTCGGCATCCCAGCGAGCAGCAGCAGTGAGTTTTCACTGGTCGCACAGACCAGGAGGACTGCTCTCAAACCTGCTACAGTGGACGCAATACTGTTCTTGACAACATGGAAAACCATGTAAGTAGAACACAATAACTTCCTGACAGATTTTTAAATATATTTAAATATATTTATAATTTTGTATTTAGGCAACTGGGGTGTAGTTCCAGCTTCATGTTCATAGCAGAAGAAATGAGGCTGTGTGGCTGATTATATGACTGCCGGTGCAAAGCCAACTTTATATGTTCGCTTTTTATCTCGTTCATGGTTTTGCAGTAAAACCTTTTTTGATCATTTTTATTGTTCTTTATCACTCCCGTTATTGGATGATGGAGGGCTGAAAGAAGTACCAGACTCTTCTTTCAGCCCTCCATCATCCGTCCATCCATCTTTACCTGTTGTTTGTTGTAGATATTTTGTTTATTAAAGTAGCTATTAGTGTAAGCATAGTTGTAGAATGTAGCCTTTTTAATTTATTTTTCATGCACACACCTGTTTTATTCTTGTAGTGTGGGTGTACATTAAATCGCTCCGTCGTCAGTCACAGCATGACTCAGCTTAATTTGGCACGACTTTCTTTTATATCTAAATTAAAATAGCCTTGTTCTATATTTTTCACAATAATTTTGGCCTAAAAATATTTTTGTTCATCTGTATAACAGCCTATCTTTAGAGTTCATTTTTAAGGCTATTTGTTTTGTATGTTAATATTCATTTGATGGTTTGTTAATAAAAATAAATCTTATATTTTCCTTTCATTACGTTTTTAAAACTATCATGTCAAACTGATTTGCTTACAAAAGCAGTAAAAGTTTAATTAAAAATAAAAGTTTTTTGTTTTTGTTGTTGGGTTCGACCCTCTAATTATCAGTAATCCGTTGGGTCCGGGTGGGGCTCAGATGGGGAGACTACAGGCTCGGTCCGGTCCGGGCCGGATTTATTAGGCCTGAATGCAACTCAAATTAGCAACACAGACAATCTCCGTAATTATTACAAATTGTATGTGGTCCCTAGGTAAAACTAATCTTGTGCAAATAGGGCTAAAGAAGAGTTCCCCTAACCTTTACTGCCTCATCCCTGACGGGGTAGTTTTATTCTTTACACTGAAATCAGAAAAGCTCTTTTTTAATTAAGGTATTTTGGCATTTGCCTAAAGCACACTACTCTTGTAGTGCAACTGCCAACTCACCGTCCTGATGGTCTTTAGTTCAGTGATGTGCTGTGACACACTCCGAGGGTCCAGGCTAGTCTCTGTTTCTTTCTTCGTACTTCAAATGTTTGTTTTTCATGTTTCTTTTTGCATTCAAGCATCAAAATAATCTGAAGCAAACTTTTAAAATGTTACTCTTTAGGTAAAATTCACTCATTTGCATAGTTTTGTCAGTTCGGCACACATGTCAGGAAGCGTTAGCCGTGCGCTCTGTTGTCATATGTTTATGTCAAAAACTCCTTTCCACAAGCTTTTATTTAAATTTCACTGTGCCTCAAATTTTAAAAAGCTATATACAAGCTCCAGGTAATTATTTTTTTTTTTTTTGGGGGGGGAGTTAAATAATTTTCAAAAGTTTTTAAATAGTTTTTGTGGAACAATTTTTTGTTCATCCAATAATAATAATAATAATAATAATAATAATAATAAAAATAATTTAAATAATAATTTTGGCAGTCATGTTAACAACAGTTGTGTATTTTATAAATGCAGGACATTGTGCATTTATGCAACTACTAAACTGATTAAATCTTTTGTACCAATCATTGGGGCAGTTGTGGCTGAGTGGTTAGAGCTGTCGTCCTCCAATGCAAGAGTTATGGGTTTGATTCCAGCAGCAGTCACATGCTGAAGTGTCCCTGGGCAAGACACTGAACTCCTCATTGCCTCCGATGTGTCTTCCATTCATTCATTCAACTTTTATTTATACAGGTTAGTGTCATTGAGCCTCGAGGACTCATTTAAGAGACCTGTTTTTAACAAAGAACAACAGTAGACTCGTAAAAGAAGGCATATAAATTGAAAAAAAAGGAAGAAAATTATATAAAATAACAGAAAATTATATAAAAAAACAGCTACATTATAGAGCGATGTAAAATAATTAAAACAGGAACATGTCTGCATTGGTTTTTGCTCACTGGTGTATGAATGTGATAAAGCACTGATTATTCCTTGTACATAAATAGTAGAGTGCTGTATGAATGGGTGAACGAGGAGTCAAAGTGTGTTGTAAAAAGCTTTGAGTATCTTGATAAGACAGAAAGACGCTATACAAGTTCAGTCCATTTACCAACACAGATGCAGGGTTTTGTACAGGATCATTTGCTTTGCTGAACTTGGACTTTTGATCCAGTTATCAAACTGAACAATTAATCATTGTTTGCTTGTCAACATTTGTGCCTTCTTGAAGGTATTTCCTGTTGTGCTTCCAGGTGAACATCTTCAACGGCCTCAACATGGCATCCATGGTCAACTTCACCGGCTTTCAGGTGGGTATCAAGTCTCTGGAGGTGTCTCGTGTTCTCATTGACATTTTAATAAAATACCAATACTTACAGAGAAATGGCACCATTTGTTGAAGGAGATGAATTTGACAAACCTTTGTGTGACTCAGTCAACGCAACACCGTGTGAAAGGAAAGCCAGTTCTCATAAATCCGCTCCTCTGATAGGCAGCAGTCAGTATGCTGTGCAGAAGATATCAGTTTTAGCATAAATACTGTATTTTTCAAACAGAGCAACATTAAAACTTACTGGACTGCGAGGCCAGATGAACTCTAAACGGTGAGCTGACAACAGAAAATGTGTCATATCCAATGTGGCATTTACAAAAATCAGAAAAAGGTGTTGCTTTGTTTGAGACCTGCTTTCCTTCCATTGAATTATGTGAACACAGAGAGGGAAGGCAGGGGGATGGGGCTGTCAGCAGCTCCGTTAATGACAGAGTTCCTCTTCACTTTCCTGCCCATCCTATCCCCATCTGAACCCAACAACCTCCTTTTATCAGCTTCCTTCACTTTGAAGGTCTTGTTTCCATCAGTGTCTCCTCTCCTGGTATCAGCTGCTTCCTGAGGGGTTTCTGTCAAATCACTGCCTCTGAAGTAGACTCTTAAGGTTCCAGCATACTCGGGCATACTTCACTTCGCAGAGGTCTGCACGTACTGGATTAGACTCGACGAGGACACCCTCAAACCATGTTTGTGCAAAGATCATTTTTTACGACAGCGGACGCAGACTCGTCGCACAATAAACTACCCGGCGACGGACCGTTTTTTATGCAACTCCAATGTATTAAATTCTCCTTCTTCATCCCTGGTCTGGTTTAATGGCCTTTTCTTTAGTTTTTTTTTCCCAAGCAAGAAGCAAGCAATCTCTTCCTCCTGTTCCGTTGATGCCAAGACAAATTGTGAGAAATTAAGGAATTTGTCACGAGAGAATTAAAATCAGGTCTAGCGTGGCTGCAGGAGGGTCTGGAGATTTCCTGGTGTGCCACACTGATGTGTGGGCTGCAGGGCCAGCGCTCCCTGTTTTTTAATAAAAAAAAAAAAACTTTTCATTAACAACATATAAACACAGAATGCTGCTGCTGCTGCTCGCTGTCCACACGACCCACGGAGTACGCACAGTATGCCCGAGTATTTGGGAGTCTTTACTTTTTCCACAACCACGAAAAGCTTGGGCAAGGTGTAGAGTTTGGTTGGTTGCAATTAGCAATTTGTGCCACTAGATGTTGCTACATTAGAAGCTGGACCATTAACTCATAAAAATTGAATCCCTCTTTAACTAACAACAAAGAATTATGTATTTTTTTCTATTTTATTTTTATTCACACACACACAGAGACACAGTCTTATGATCTCCAAGAAGTCATTATTCCATCACTATACACATTTATAACAGTTTTCTGTCTTTAAAATATTTTACAGAAATTTTTATTAAAAACAAACAACAATGTAAATTAGAAATATGAAGATTTTATTAATTATTTTGTGTCATACAATTAAGAGTTACTTTTGTTATAGTTAAAAATCCAATAAATTGCATGTTGAAAAGTCACAACATGGAAAGTTTACCAAGAGAGGTGAAGGCCTTTACAACATCATGTAATGATGTCAGAGTGGACATATATTGTGAGCAGGAGAGGACTGGGACAATAATCCAGGCCGGGAATTTGATACCATTCCAGGCCACCACCACTCCATCCATCCATCCATAATCTTTACCTGCTTATTCCTTTTTGGGTCACGGGGGTCGCTGGTGCCCATGTCCAGCAATCACTGTGCGAGGGGCGGGGTACACCCTGGACGGGTCGCAAGTCCATCACAGGGACACATAGAGACAAACGAGACAAACAAACATTCACTCTCTCACTCACACCTAGGGACAATTTAGAGTTACCAATCAGCCTAACATGCATGTTTTTGGACTGTGGGAGGAAACCGGAGTACCCGGAGAAAACCCACGCATGCACGGAGAGAACATGCAAACTCCACTCAGAAAGGCCCCTGGACCGGGGTTTGAACCAAGGACCTGCTCGCTGAGAGGCAGCAGCTCTACCAGTTGCGCCACCGTGCTGCCCGCCACCACCACTCGATTAACGCAAACTAAAGACTGAGTTAAGTTAAGTGCACTTGGAACAACATATGACACCGTATGTGTACATGTTTTGCAACATGGTGGCCATTGGCATCAGAAGCATTTGTAATGTAATAGGGTTTAGGCACACTGGTGGGGGTCTGGGGGGTCCTCCCCCAGAAAATTTTGAATAAAGTAGATGTCATTTCCTGCATTCTGGGGTATTTTAACAGTTGTTTAACATCTAGTTTTACCTATATAAGTAAACACTTGATTCAATAACTATTTTAGAGTTAATGGCAGAACAAGAAGTAGCCTGACCAACAGCTCTCCTTGTGTGAATAGAGCATGGTCCGTTTCTCTCACGCATCTAGCCACAGTCTAAGAAACATAGTATAGCCCAAGTTAACTTTTAGGAAATAAAATCACTATTCCACATGAAAATATAATAATAATCACTCCTTCTTACCAGTGGCCTAGCAAAAAGCAATATGATCATCATCCATCATGTTTATTAGTAGCTTAAAATACCTAATTAAAACTCCAGTAGTGGGCTAGGTCTCTTCTAACCTTACCCAATTTCAGGGTCAAAAGACAAACATGTAGCATTAACACAGTATGAACAACATTCAGGAATTGTTTCTATAAGAACATTATCAAATATTTTACATGAACGGTGAGATCGCACCTCCCATGAGGAAATGTAACCCAGGGTGAGATAGCTGCAATGGTGGAGGTAGTGAAGCTCACAGTGTTTAGTGAGGCATTTCTGCCTTATCAGCCAACATTAAGGCAAAGAAGACGGGCAAAAAATAAAATAAATTTAAAAAATTTAAGCTACTAATAACTCCATATAGTTCTGCAGTGGATGTTTTCATGCCACAGAGCAACACAGGGCAAGAACTCACAGTGAAATTCAATATGTAAGAGTGGAAATTTCACAATACACAACCTTTTAAACACTTTGTACAAATCAGTTTAATTTTAACTCATCATAACAAACAAAGGCTAAATTTATGTAACTAGAAGTTGCAACATATATATAAAATACAAAACAAAACACAACTAGTTTTAAGCATTAACTTTAAATTCAACCATTAAGTGTACAATGTATGACAAATAATGGAGGATTTACCTGCAGTTACCTTGTACAGAGGAACATGTGGTACTTCCTGTTTATAACTGAGAGTTGGCTGCTGGCCTTTATTATCTTTTACATTTTCCCAAACTTTGTTTAGTTTTTGAAATGTAATAAACTGTAACCACCCTCTAAATGCTTTGGGTAACACGTGCCTGAATTACATGTCATAATTTTCCATCTATTCGTTTTCACTAATTGACTATATGTTTTGGCTATGTTCATCCATCCATCCATCCATTTTCTTCCGCTTATCCGGCGTCGGGTCGCGGGGGTAGCAGCCTAAGTAGGGAGGCCCAGACTTCCCTCTCCCCAGCTACTTGGGCCAGCTCTTCCGGGGGAATCCCGAGGCGTTCCCAGGCCAGCCGAGAAACATAGTCCCTCCAGCGTGTCTTGGGTCTTCCTCTGGGCCTCCTTCCGGTGGGACGTGTCCAGAACACCTCACCAGGGAGGCGTCCAGATGGCTATGTTCATATAACAACAAATATGTTCTTAATCTCAACAGGACTTTACCTGGTAGAATAAAGGTTACATAAAATAATGTAATGCAAGGAATTTAATATTCAGATAATTTATTAGTAGAGTTTATGAAGGGTACACAAAATCTTAATTCCTGGACATTTCTGCATTAAACTTTTTTTTCAGCTACTATTTGTTAGCCAAATTCTAAAATTTGCAATATCCTTTGTAAAAACTTGAAACATTTGTTCTATTAAGTTTTGGCCCACTTAGGTCCCTCCAAGTAGAACTAACCTCATTAAGCTAGCTGCGCTGACAGGTTATGACCAGAGTTTTCACTTTTCACCACACGTGTTTCATTCTTACCTGCTCCCTTGAACAAACATTAATTTACAGCACTTCTTCAGCACCAGTGCTTTTCTCTTTTTCATCCTCTCTCTCTGGCTGTCTCTCTCACTCCAATCTACAAGATACATTACACAAACCAGGGAAACGACGGATGTACAGAGGTGTGTGTCGCACGCAAACATATAATCCTTGCGAGCGCGAGTCAACGGGGTGGGTGCGCATGTGACCCGTGTGTCTCTGCTTTGCTCAGTAGAGTAGCTGAGAGCTGAGTGAAGCTGGCACGCTCCCACAGACACAGCATCAGAAAGAGAGGCAGGGGGAGCTTCAGTGAGACCTGACTGAGACCGGGCAAGAGCGGGCGGCTTGTTAATTTTAAATAATCAAGCGCGACCCAAACTGAGCCTTTAGTCCAGTCCTTCGGCGGGCACTGACCGGGCCAGGCCACCGAGAAATGTCCCAGCGCTCCCCATGGCCAGTCCGCCTCTGATTGTGAGATAATATAATTACAAGGAGTTGTGATTAGTGTTGACACATGGAAATCAAATCAATGTCTTCATTGCTGAGCCCATCCTAAATAATGTGTCAGTTGCTGCAACATCCATCCATTATCTTTTACCCACTTCTTCCATTTTGGGTCATGGAAGTCGCCAATGCCCATATCCAGCATTCACTGTGCGAGGGGCAGAGGACACCCTGGACAGGTCGCAAGTCCATCACAGGGCCACATAGAGACCAAATCTAATTTTCCTAACGGGTCACTTGTCTGATTTGTTGTACCGTCCTCTCTGTCTTGTAGATGGCTGCCTACTTTGGACATTCAGTTGCTGCCTCGGATGTTAATAATGATGGGTAAGAGTGGTTTTTCATTGTGATGCTTTTAACAGGAGTCGGTTACAGCTGCTACTTTTAAAGACACCAGGGCTATAATAACTTCTGCACCTTCAGCTTTGACTTTGCTAAAGTGACACAAGATTCACATACTGTGCATGTGTTTAAGTACACACAAGACAAGGACCATATCTGGAGTGTTTATAGACTTTTATTGCTGAGTTTGGTTGAAAAAGTTTCATGGTAAGATTATATCTTTTTTTATTATTTACTGAGTATTAGCATCTGAACAGTGTGTCATTTTTTAAATTAGTTGTCTTGTTTTCCTCAGAATAATGACAAAAAAAATGGCACTTTTTGTTGCTTGACTTGGACTTTGAAAAGTGTCTCAGTTGTTACAGTGTTGGATAATGACAAACACTGTCAGTGCTTTTACAGAAGAGCTTATCAAGTGTGAGGGTAAAATACTCCTGAACAATAAGAAAAGAGTTTTAAACACAGCCACAGCCAGAAAATGACACAAGTGTTGGACTGTTGGTTCCAGACAGTCAATAAGTCACAAAAAATGTCTCCCTGATGAGAAATATGTAAAGGAAGGAGCTTTGACCTCCTGTCAACTGCAGACTGAACATAATGTACTCAGTGTTGCATTGAGGGTAAGATACCGAACGTTTCTCCTCTAGTGTGTGCCACTTAAACACCCACTGGAGAAGATGGTATTTAACTTTTTCATTTGCTTTCTTGATGGCAGTAAATCATAATTTGTTGTTGTGAAAAGTCTGTTTCTGTTGCAGTGCCTCTGAACAGGGTTTGCAGGGATCACAAATTCAAAGCAAATCTTTCCGTAACATTTTGAGCTAAAGAACAAAAAGTGGGAAGCGTTAAAAACGACGTATGAAGCTGATTTGAGAAATGTATTGTTTTGTTTTCAGTTTGATGGATCTGTTGGTCGGAGCTCCTCTCTTCATGGATCGAGGCACAGATGGGAAACTGAGGGAGGTGGGACAGGTAGGAGGCGCACAGCATTTTATAAAATGCAAAGATGATTACCATAATTGTTGGGCTTTAGAATGCTCCTGTCTCTAAGCCACACTTATTAAATATAAGATAAATCATATTTTTTTACATAAATAAGACCCTCTGGGTATTTACCTGTGGTCATCCACCGTTCATCGTTGGGACCTGTGCCCAGCCAGCTTTGACAGCGTGCAGCTTTCTTGTTGTACAAGAACCAGTCAGCAGGTGGCGTTTCACTGACAGTAGCTTGCTTTCAACACACGCTTAGACTGTACGATCGTCATGAGTGTTCATGAAGCTTCTCTGTCTGACTCATGGTTACAACCATTATACCTTCAAAATGAACACAATAATTATCTAACACATAATCACTGGACAGAAAAGTGCCAAAAACCTGCGTAACTGAAATTATTTTAAAATTATTTACAGGTAAACCCCAGTCTTATCTAGGTCATGTGACTGGAAGTCAAATAGTACCGGTAGAATGCGGTAAATATCCATTAAATTAGTACTATTGATTTTTATTGTAAACACTTGTTAATAGCTGCTGTTTTTAATAGGGGTGCACCAATAAATCGGCCGGACGATTTATCGGCCCTGATTTCCTTAATTTTAGGAAATCAGAAATCATCCGATACTTGCATGAGAAACTGATTTTACTGATTTTTTTTGTTTGTTTTAACAACAATTGTCTGAACTTTATTTATATTGCAGAGCACTACCTCATGGCCAGTTAAAACAAGTTTGTATTGTTTCTAGGATATTGTTTAAGGGTTTGTTTTTCAACAATATAATGGAAGATTGAAGGTGCATTGTGACCTTGTAACACCTGACAGTGTTGATTATAAAACAGAATCGGTATCGCCCAAAATCGGAATTGGCAGGTCAGACTTTTTAGAAATCGTTGATTGGCCATAAAACTGCAATAGGTGCACCCCTAGTTTTTAAATGTACTTTCTAAATAAATTTGACGTGATTTCTCCTCGGCAGAGCTCATATGAGCAAGAGGGAGGAAGGAAGGGGGAACAGCCCCTCCCTTATGTAGTGCTCCTCTGCTCTGTTTAATGGCCCTGTTTAAGCTTAAATGAGATACTGGTACACTGGTTCTTCATGGAATTATTTTTCTGAAAATCAGTTTAACTCTTTCATTGCATCTGGTAAAATGTCCAGCACCTTTTCTTCTCTCCATCTTAACATAAGAAGTCTTTCAAAAACCTGTGATAAATTTTACCATTATCTTGCATCACTGAACCAAATGTTCACGATAATTGCATAGAGCGAAACTTAGCTTACTGAAGAAATCCATTCACGATTGAATGTCCATGGCTACACAGCTGTTCACCGATGTAGAGGAAGTCGAGGTGGAGTCTCTTGTCTATCCAACATTTTTCAGTCAGATCATCTGGACAGTTTCTTTTTTTGTGCTGAAACGTTTCACCTTCGATCCAGAAGGCTTCATCAGTCAAGGAAACACACAACAAAACTGATTCTTCCCCCAACAGCTTACTCCAAAGTGGAACAAACCAGTTCTGCTTGTGATAAGATGGTCTCTTTGGTACGCCCCTCCTCCATTGCCGGGACCATTGTCAAACTGGTTGAAAACAACTTGTTTTCAAATCTGAGCACGAACACAAATATTTGAGAGAGAGCAGAAGTTTTGAGTCCAAACATTACAAGTTTTGAGAACAAACAGATGAATTCCTGCTTTCAAACACAAAAAGTGTGCTCTCGACTTATGTCAGGAAAACTCTTCCATAGTCCCCAACTTTTTTTTGCGCCATGGACCGGTTTAATGTCAGACAATATTTTCGGGGACTCCTCTCGTAGATAATTTTTAATAAAGTAGATGTCATTTCCTGCATTCTGGTGTATTTTACAAAGGTTTATTACAGTAGATTAACATGAAACAAAAGATGTAAACTCATTATTGAAATGACTGCAAAGTGTTCGTAATGCAACACCGCTGCAGCTCTGCAGGTGAGGGGCGTTCACTTCAGGACAAACTGAGGTTGCTGATTGGTCAGTTGCTGACGTGCCTACTGGACTGATTGACAGGTGGGTCGAGAATCCGACTACTGCAACAACAAAAAGTCTTAGATTTTACTGGCCCATTTTAAGACTGTCATTTTTTATTCAATATTTTGGTGAATCTAAGGTTTGAGAACTGAGTTTCCTTACTCGATCCTAATGATGGTTTCTTTATTTTCAGGGGTGCTGACTTAAAATTTAGGAGTGCTTGAGCACCCCCAAAAAGAGGCTAAAGTCACCATTGAAGCCAGTTTATATTTCAAATTTACTTTTAAATGCTTTATATGTTATTTATAAGTGTATTAACTGCAGGATAATTTCTCATCTTGTTATACCCCACACCGGGGTCAGCTGCACCTCGTCATCCTCCTCCCTGCTCTGCAGTGATTCACACATCAGATTATTCACAAAAGCGCAGAAACTTGTGCATTGTGCAAAACTTTAATTACATTTTTGTGTTTTTTAATAAAATTGCCCATGACTTTGAACTTTTAGGGGCGGATATTTTTTTAAAGCAGAAGCAGAAATGCAAAGTGACAGCTCTGATGTGATGTTAGGAAGCTTAGTTTGAAATGATAGTTTTATAAAACTATAAAATTATATAAAATTATAGTTTTATAAAACTATAAAATTATAGTTTTATAAAACTATAAAATTATAGTTTTATAAAACTATAAAATTATAGTTTTATAAAACTATAAAATTATAGTTTTATTTAGTTATAGTTTTACAGTCACTTTTCATCAGGTGCGTTGAAAAATATGCAGTGTAATCCTTCAAATGCACAGATACGGCGGTGCGCACACACCTGTCCTGTCTGCTCCAGACCGTGCAGCTGAATTACTCGACCCGCACGAGCACTGTAGAACCAATCTATGCATGCACCTAACAAACCGAAACTTACCACTTGTGTATGTTGACCTGCATCAAGGGTGAGTCATTGGCAGATGTGGTGGAGAGAATCCAGTGATTTTTCAAAATAAAACTTTATTTTTGTTTGTTTTTGTTTTTTCCTTCTGTGTGGCCCGTTACCATTTGACCCACAGACCGGTGCTGGTCCGCGGCCCGGTGGTCGAGGACCCCTGATCGCTGTTCTCAGGATACCCCATAGCACTGTTAAATCTCTACAGATTCAGATTATCTTTGTAGAGAGGTAATCGAGTGCTGTATGAATGTAAGAGTCAGAGTTTTATTGGCATACACACCTCATGTGGTACATGTGGTGGAACGAGATTATGTACACAGGGTCCCAGTTACATCCAACAATAAAATGTAAAAGAAAAACAATGATAACATCTAAGATATGAACTAAGAAAAACATCAACTAAAAATACACTAAGCACTCATAGAATAGTTCTAGAATTGCGCCGCTCAAGGTGGCTGCATGTTGGAGCAGCTCTGTTACTTTCATTCTGAGATTTTGCTTTTGGAAACTTTAATTCCTCTTTTTCTGGATGTAAATCACATTTTTTTGGATGATTGTTTCCTCTGGTATCAGATGCTGTGCAGCTGGAAGGATTTTTACTGAAACTTCTTTAGTTTTGGACATTTGTTATGATGCGTAACCATGGCAACAAGGCAGTTTTCTACAACCAACAGCAGCTGATTAACATCTCAAAAGCTCAAATAATATCTCAACTACAGCCTCAAATGAGTTGAAAAGGATGTTCTGTGGACGCATTCTCATCTACCTGCCAGCTGTGCTCGAGTGCCTGACCACTGAGATCCTGGAACTAGCAGGAAACACGGCTCATGACAGCAGAAGGACAGGATCGTCCCTCGGCACCTACAGTTGACTGTCCGCAGTGACGAGGAGCTCGGCAGGCTGCTGGGAGGAGTGGCCATCGCTCTGGGAGGAGTTCTGCCCGGCATTCAAACGGTCCTACAGCCCGGGGGAACCGAGAGGCCAGCTGAGTCTGGGTGGACGGATCGGACGGCATCTGCAACCAGTTTCTAAAGATCCATTGTGGGATGGACCTTTACAAGAGATCCTTCCTGCCTACAGCCATCAGCATCTATAACATCTCTTAATGAAATGAGGATAACGAGTTACAACAACAAATAATTTCCCTCTGGGATTAATAAAGTATGTTTGAATTGAATAGCATAAAAGCAATAAAAACAATACGCTGAACAGCAGCACAAACATGAGTCTGCGAGCAAACGAGTACGAACACAGCAACATAAAACGGATCAGCAGCAACATGAAACAGATCAGCAGCAACATGAAACAGATCAGCAGCAACATGATGTGATTCTTCACAGTGATTATTCTGGTTAGAGATTCATGAGTCAAACAGCCTCAGGGTAGAAGCTGTTCCTCAGTCTAGTGGTTTTACACTTAATGCTCCTCAACCTCCTTCCTGAGGGGAGTGGGGCAAAAAGTGTGTGTGCTGGGTGAGTGGGGTCCTTCATGATGCAGGTGGCCCTCTTCCTGCATCTGGAGGTGTAGATGTCTGTGATGGTGGGGAGACTGACTCCAACATCTTCTGTGCAGCCTTCACCACTCTCTGCAAAGCT